GGTTAAATGATCTGCTCCTACTCCTATGTCTTATGCTGTTATTAGAGCTTTTGATAAAGCAACATCTAAGGTGGATAGAGGTGGACTTGTTAATGTGGTGAACTTGAATTTCTAAATGGCATTTGATAAGTAACCAAATCAAAAGTTCCTACACAAGATAATACCACATGGTGTAAGTTTTGATGTATTGGCATGGTTAAATGATTGGTTTGCTAACAGGAAACGCATAATAGCGATAAATAGGGTTTTTTGAGTTGGCAAGCTGTCAACTGGTGGTGTGCCACAGAAATTAATGGTATGCCCTCAATTACTTACAATCTATATCAAGAATTGCTAAAATCCTTTCTGAAGAAGGGACCTGACCCGAAATGTCAGCTTTCGTGCTCCCTTGATGCTGCCTGGCCTGCTGTGTTCCTCCAGCTCCACACTGTGTTATCTCTGACTCCAGCGTCGGCAGTTCTTACTATCTCTGATATGGCATGCTTGTCTTTATGGTCAGTGAATTGAGTACAAGAATGAGGATGTCATGTTGCAGCTTTATAAGATTTTGGTTAGGCCACCCTTAGTGTATTATGTTCAGTTCTGGTCAGCACATTACAGGAAGGATGTGGAGGCTTTGGAGAGGGTGCAGAAGAGGTTTGCTAGGATGCTGCCAGGTTTAAAGGATAAGAACTGTATGGAGAGGCCAGAAAAACTCAGGTTGTTTTCTCTGGAGTGGCAGAGGCAGAGGGGAGACTTGTTAGGGTTGACAGTCGGAATCTTTTTTCCCCTAGGGGGCATGCATTTAAGGCGAGAGGGGGAAAATTCAAAAGTAATCTGAGGGGCAAGTTTTTTACATAGAAAGTGGTACGAATCTGGAGTGCACTGCCAGGGGTGGTGGTTGAGACAGGTACGAAAGGGGCATTTAAGGGAGTTTTAGATAAGCACATGAATATCCAAGAAATGGAGGGATATGGACCAAGGGCAGGCAGAAGAGATTAATTTAATTTGGCATCCTGTTTGCCACAATACCATGAGCTGAAGGGCCTGTTGCTGTGCTGTACAGTTCTACGTTCTATGAACAGAGATTAGTGCTGTTGTAGCGAATAAATGTAAAGGTACTGTTAACTCATCCTCCAATCTTGCTCCATCCCACCATATCCCTTCCCATTCTCTGTAGTGAACTGCTGTGGAAAGGTGGAAGTGGACAGCTATTGCATCTACTATAGTTGTTTGTGAAAGTATAAAGAGCAATCAGTAGGTTTGGAGGGCTGGTTGAAGAATGGCAGATTCATGTTTTTCATAGAAACAATTCTTCGCTCAGAGCCCCTCTTGCAGCGGATGGGGTGGAGTGAGGTAGAAAAGAAATTTGTGTCTAGAATATTACTGTTTTCAAGACTGATGCTCCTAATGTGTGTTCTGCATTTCGCAATTTCCTGTTTTCAATTTGGATATTTTAGGAGCAAAATACTTGAAACACTCAGTATCTGTGGAGAGAGTAGATGGATAATGTTTCTGCGTACATTTGGTCAGATTTTCAGTTTATTGTTTTCTTCTGAGCACATTGCTAATCATTGTTAAAACAGCAAATTACTGCTAATGATTGAAACGTAAAATGGGAAAGTCATCATGAATTGCTTCTGAAAAATTGGGGACAAAGATTATGATTTGAAATTGTGAAAATAAGTTTTGTATCCAGAAAACTTAAAAGTGCTGAATCAAAAGCTGAGGTACTACCCTCAAGCTCAGCATTGATCTTCAGTGGGCAGTATAGTTAGCCAAGAACGGAGATGTCAGAGTGGAAGTGAAAACGAAGAATTTAAATGGGTGTGATTGTGATTGTGATACAGAACTAATCTGAGGTGGTTTGCAAAGTGATCTCCCAAATTGCATAAGAATGGAGTCATAGAATTGTACAGCATGGAAACAGACCCTTCGATCCAATTGGTTCACGCTGACCAAACAGCCCAGTCTGTGTACTGTATCCGCTGTTCCCAATGTGGCCTCCTCTACATCGGGGAAACCAAGCGGAGGCTTGGAGACCACTTTGTGGAACACCTATGCTCAGTTTGCGACAAACGACTGCACCTCCCAGTCGCGAACCACTTTAACTCCCCCTCCCACTCCTTGGATGACATGTCCATCCTGGGTCTCCTCCAGTGCTACAATGATGCCACCCGAAGGTTGCAGGAACAGCACCGCTTGGGAACCCTGCAAGCTGAATGATAAGAATGTGGACTTCACAAGCTTCAAAATCTCCCCGCCCCCCCCCC